CCGCTGCACATTTGTCAGCATGGCAAACGATGGCAGGCAAGTGACATCTTGTGATGTGTCACTGGTTGTGTTACAGTGCCCAGTTGTCATGGCAACGTCATATGGGTGACTGGCAGCACCAAGGGGCCAATAAAAGGTGGATGGACACTACAGCCCAGGGCTACAGCAAACACTCTGCATGCAGCTGGCAGAGGCCCCTCATTCTTCTTGGGCATGTCGACACGGTGAGTGATGGTCCACAATTTGTGTGACGTCACCACCAGTCACTCATGAATAAAGGGTCAGTACAGCTGGCTGGCTCCCCTTTCCTGGCTGGCTGGTGCCAGCAGGCTGGCTGCCACATACAGCACTACAGCAGGTGCCCAGTTCTCAGGTGCGCACGATTCGACCCAGCATGGTGTCACTTGGGCGGTGTCACTAGTGACACCTGGTCACGTGGGTGCGAGCTTGTGACCTCAGCATGCCTCCAAGGGGGTGAAACCACCACCCCTGCCCTGCCGTGCCCTGCCCAACCAGCCCTAGTTTCTGGGCAAAGCAACCCTACACAAAATGCATGGATAGTAAGCTTAGGGGCACTGCCATGAGCAATATCTGTTTCCTCATGTTTTACTGACCCAATTATAGCACAGCAGGACATCACAGTCAAGCGCTTCGCATTGAGACCTCCACATACTGCTACACCTGCACACAACTGAAAGCACCCCTTGCGCCGCCGGCGTATGAGTTTGCGGTGCAATGCGAGGCAGCACTTGCAACCTTGCAACAAGGGTTGATATGTTAGCCGCCCCCCCCCCCCCCTTTCCTTGAAATGCTGTCGAGCCTGGGTGCTAGCATGGACGTGACGGCTTGCTTACACGGCTAGGTGCAGAGGTCAATTGCTTGCATCTGGGCCATGTTGTCACCCTGCGCTCTTCTCATTGAGCAGGACGTACTCCCGGCTGCTGAGCCCGAACTTGATGACATCACGCTCCAAAAGCTCCACGTACCTGCGCAGCCCGGGGCAGGCGCACTATTGAGGACGGGCTTGCTTAGGAAACAATCCGCATGTCATTGAAAAGGGTTGGGGTATTGTATGCGGTTGAGATGTGCAAAGTCTGACACTGCAATTGTAGCTCAAGAGCAACGTGAAAAAGAAAAACTGTAATATTAGGGTCGTCACAATTTCAGGCGGACGGTAATCTGCCTGTGGCCGACCATGAAGCTAGCATGAGCAGGTGAGCCCTCAACATGCACCCTTCACCTGCTGGCCTCAATCCGCTCCCCGTTGACAAAGGTGCCGTTGACTGTCTCCAGGTCGATGATATACGGCACCACCACCTTGGACAGGCTGGACGCACGTTCCACCTCCCTGGGCAAGAGCGGGTAAAGAGCAGTCTTGGAAAACGGACTGGTGGTGTCATTGCCGACTGAGAAGCGTTGTGCAGATGGAAGATTTTAGGCCTGGAGGTGCTTCACCTGCCAGGCCCAGCAGCCCTTCGTGCGAGACTGCCAAAGTGCAAGCAAAAGCTGGAAACAGCCAGATTTGATGTGACCACATGCGTGCCACCACGCGCACCGGAAGCATATGACCGCGTGCTGCCTGCTGCAGGAGGGGTGGTCCGTAGGGATGTCGGCCACGCGCCGCTCCTTGCCGAAAAGAAAGAAGGGGAACTTGTCCAAAGGCAGGGGGTCGCCGACCTGCTCAGTATGCAGATGCAAGAATGGAGAGTCACCCATGCGCGGCAAAAGCATTTAAACAGGGCCCCAGAGCTGCAGTTGGCAAGAGGCAGGCCAACAACAACATTAACCATGCTGTGAGGCAAGGGCTCAATGCTGCAGATTCTCCATGAATGTGCAAAACAGCCAACAATCACTGAGATGGTGCAGACAGCATAACGCAACACAATACTTCCAAACGGCAGCTTCATGCGCACTTGCAATTATTATTAATTATTTGAACAAACATGGCCCACTTATGCAACCATAAGGGAGGCGTGGTGCGACAGCTCAAACTACGGTAGCCTGTCGCCCAAGCCCACCCCTGGACTTGCCTGGGTGTCGCCCTTGAAGACGTACAGCCGCCAGCGCGGGCTGGTGCAGCGCCTCGCCTCGGGAGGAGGCTGGAACTTCATCACGACACCGTTGACCTGCGACACAAGAGGTAGGCAGGGGCGGGGGCCTTGCTTTGTGCACAATGTGGCTTGCACACAAGAGGCAACAGCATGTGCTTGTATGCTTGGGCAGTTGGATTGCCGGGTATTAAGTAATGTCATGTTCAAACGCAACCAGGCAACCTCCAGTCCAACCAATGACAGCAGCAGTGCATCATGACCCCACAACCTGTGAAGCCCACCTCCTGCAGGCCACCTAGGCCCCAAGCCAACACCACATCCAACACCTGCTGCTCCATTTTTCTCACCTCGTTGGTCTCTGCTGCCAGCTTCCCCGACACACCAAAGTTGGGCTCCACTACGACCTCGGTTGGTGGCCCATCCTTGCCATCGCCATCGCCATCGCCGCCGCCACGGCCGCCATCGCCACCGCGGCCGCCACTGCCGCCGCGGCCGCCACCGCCACCGCCGCTGCCGTTGCTGGCCCCGCCACCGTGGCCACCCTGCCGCGGCCCATCACCGTTACCATCCCGCCATCGTGCGCCGCCGCCCCCCAGCCCGTCACCACCCTTGCGACTGTCCTTCAGCCCCCGTGGCTGAGCGCTTCCCTCGGGCCCCCCGGGCCCACGAGGCGGACCCCTCCCTGGACCGCTGTCCTCGCCGCGCTCGCCGGCACCATCCTCAACGTGCTGCTGCTGGGGCTGCTCGCGCCTGTCGCGCCCGCGCGCGTGCTGCTGGTGGTAGTCCCTGCTACCAACATGATGCCGTCGGTCTCGAGTGCGGCTGCGGCTGCGGCTGCGGCTGCGGCTGCGGTCCCTGCGCGTTGGGCTGTGACTTCTTGGCCGCCGCAAGGGGCTTCGGCTGAGGCTGCTGTAGTGTCGCCTGCAAAATCGGCGAACAACGCAGCAGCTGAAAGCGGGCTGGCCACTCAACCAGCGGGATTGTACAATATCGGATAAAGCAGGGCAGTGAGCCCCAGATTGCTGCCCAGCCTGCAGGTGGGTAAAGCGATGCAGCGGTGCAGCGCAACCAAGTGCACATCGTTGCGCGCCCAACCTGCTGCGTTGCGTCCGGTCTCTCTCCTCCCGCCTGGGGCTTTTGTCGCGTGACCTCCGTCTCGGCGGTGAATCCTCTAGTGCCATGCCACACTGCGGGCCGGGTGATCAAGCGGGCGTGGTGCGAATGTGATCTCACTGCAAGTTATCGGCGGGTTATCGGCGATGCAATGCAGTATATATCTTATCGGTATTTTTGTGCAGTGCTACACGACTGGGACGCTTAATACGATATTGAGATGAATGTGCATGCGGGCACGAGCGCATGGCAGGTAGCAAGGGCAACGGGGAGGGCGCGCCAGGCAGACCAGTTAGCCGGCATGCCTCTCGGCAGCGTCTGGCGCCACGCCCCACAGAATTTGCGGCGGAAAGCACACATGGCTATTTAGGGTCAAATGCTGCTGGTAGTGTAGCCGTGCTTGGAGGTGATTGGTGTTGCGGCTTTTCTGTTCATCTGTCATGTTGTTCTGTCCTGTTGTTCCATCCTATTGCTCAATCCCATGATCCTGGATATCTTCAAAGACGGGCGAATGCAAGATGCTGTAACAACCTAATCCTGCCTGGGTTGCATGCCCAACGCCGGGTTTGTTTGGGTCCACCTGGCTGCAAGAATTGAACACATACAGGAGCCAGCATGCTTGTACCTGACCGTGTTGACTGAAGCTGCAGGTTCCCCCAAAGCAATTTCGGGCAGCCAGACCGTCAGCTTGCCAACAAGTTAAGCTGCGGATGATGTCACAAGGTGTGACCGTGCACCTGTGCCTCAGCACTGGCCCTGCTGACACTCTGCGCTCCCAGAAATCACTCCCATCACCCCTCCAGAGTGATGTGAAATATCCCAGATTGAACACTTGAGGCACTGGGTACATCGTGTGCATCCTAATTAAACTGGGCTTAAACATTCAGTTTCGCATCAATGTGACCTTGACGGCATTGGAGGGGCCCCCCAACAAAGCAAGAACATTGTGGTGTAAGCACCATTGCGCATGTACTGTGGTACATCACAAAGCAATTATCACAATGCAGCTGCGCAGACGACGGTAAAAAAGATTCCTGTGCAAAAATGCGTTGGTGATGGAGCTGAAAAGCGCCCCTGCACGAAGTCTGATGGCTGGAAACACCGGAAACAAATTGTGGTCAGCACGTGGCACAAAAAAATTGGCTTTGACCAGTGCCCCGCCATGCACATGGGCGCCCACGCACCCTGCTACACGGCTGTTGCTGTTCCAGCACGGTTTGCATGTGCCCCGCACGTGATGCAGCGCAGCAGGCGCGGAGGAACCGCGCGCATCACAAACTCCCAGACGTCTCGGCGAGTCACGCGCCCCTTGCCATCCGTATCAAGTGTTGCCAGAGCCATGCGCCGCCCCTCGAGCGCCATGGCGTAGGCAAAGCAGGCCACAAGGCCAGCGTTCAACACCCCAGTAGTTGCCAGCGCCCCCTGTATGACAGCGTCCGCCTGGTCAGGGCTGGCGACGACATCCTTGGCCAGTGCAGCGAGCAAAAGCCCAAGGCAGGTGCCATTAAGCACATAAAGGCTCCCCCGCTGGAGAGTGTCCAGCATGCGGCAGCCATAGGGCTGGCAGGTGATCTGCAGCAGCAGCGACACAAACACCACGCACAGCATGGCAAAGATTTGGGCTGCCGCGCCAAATCGTTGCATTGCTGTGACCACCATGGCCAGCGCCAGCTTTTCAAGAAGAATGATAGCCTCCCAGAAGAAGTACGCGCCTCTGTTGAGTGCAACCGCAGTGAAGAGCCACAGCAGTGCGCGTGAATGGGACAGGAGGTGATGAGATTTGTGGGAGCCTCGGCGAGGGTTTGAGTTGTGCATTATGAGTACACAATCAGTCCGCATGCAGGCGTCCCCCTGAGTGCATTGGTGTGGTTACACCAACAGCTTTTGACGTACAGATAGGTGGGAGGCTGGGTGATTGAATGCCAACCCCACCTGTAGCTGTTGTAGAAAAAACCAAACTGCAGATCCACCTGGGTGAGGGAATGTGGTAGCAACAGGTGTTCATCCTGGCGCCATACATCTACAATGCGGCATGTGCAAACGCAGCAGCGCACAGGACAAGAAAGATTTGAACTCACTACCGTCAGTATCAAGTTCACATGTTTCAAGGAACGCGGAGCATGCCGTGCGCCTCGCACCATGGTTTTGCGCAGCCTGTGCCTGTTGTAGACTAGCACCACCGCCAGGATGATGGGGAAGCCTCCGCAAAAGGCGACCGCCCAGATCACCCCCATCACAAATACGGCCTTGAGGTCACCCTCCCAGCATTTCAGGGCGGTGTCGTAATTCCAGAAGGTTCCAACAGCTGCAAGGGCATCAGTGGCGTTGCCAGCCATGTGTGACAGCCTTTGGAGGGCTGAGGGGGCCATGGGGTCTGGCATGTAGGCCTTGTAGATGTCTCCAGCCAGCAGTGTGGCATGGGAATCGACTGGTGTGCACGCAACCAAGATGCTGATCACCACGTTGCTGACCTGTGCAAGCGAGGGGAAATCAAAATTGAATGTGTGTGCGAGAGGGGGGGGAGTTGATTGGTGGGGAAAGTATGTGTGAGCTGCAGGCAGCTGTACTTATATCTGCAACAACAGTAAGCATATGGGGGTGGCTGACCATGAGGCGCTGAGCAGCAACCAACCTGTGGGTACAGGTAGAAAAGCACAAGCCCCGTAGTAAGCACCACTCTTGAGGAATAGAACTCGCGCCAAGTCCTCAGTTGCGAAGTGCGATGGCACCAGCTTGACGTCAGTGCGTGAAGTGCCCACACCAGACAGCCGGCAAAGCACCCGGCAACTGGGAAAGGGGGAAGTGGCAGTTTTGCACGAGAGCATGGTCAGTTGGGGCTGCGGCAGGCACCCCAACGCACCATCTCGGCCTGAGTTCGCTTGTTATAACAAACGGGCATGCACCATGAATGCGATTGTCGAAATGCAGGCAGGTGGGCCGCCCCGCACACCAAAAATGCCGGCACACTGCAGGGAAATTGAAGACATATGCATATTGTATATTTCAAGGCGACACTCTTGCAATTACCTGGCAAAAGGAGCAGCAGCAGCGTGCGCCTGATGGATCGCCTCATGGCACCGTTGTTTCCCATTGAACATTCCAAAACGACCCATCTGTGCCATGGAGGAGGCAAACTGAGATTGTTGGAAGCAAGGAGGGGGGCAGGTGGCGCAGCACAGCATCAGATCGCAAGTAAACACCAGCACAAAATACAAAGCATTTTAGTAACAAGTACCACGCTTTTTCAAACACCCAACAGACAGCACAAGGGGAGCAGAAAATCAACAGCGCCACGCACATTTCCCAGGCATCCCAACTTACGTGGAGATTGCTTGAGACTGGTCAAAGAAACCCAACATCGTCTCAACGATTGGGCCCCAGTTAATCCTGATCCCCTTCATCAGCCCCAGCAGTTGCAGGTGAGTTATGAGCAGCTTGAAGAGGTCAGAAAGCCAGAACTTGGATGCCCGTACTGCAACTTCCCCAGCAGCCAGTGCTGCAGTGGGCTCGGCACCAGCAGGAGAGTCGTCAATATCGCATGAGGGTCCCCTGAAAAGGGGCTGCGACTTCCACACCCGGCTGTCGGCACCGTTTGTGGCTCCCACAGAGCCCAAATGGAACAAAGTCCGACGGCTGCCCTCTTGGTGTGGGTTGATTGCCTTCTGCTCCTTGCCTGCCACATCTGGCATGTCGTCCCGCACTGATGAAGCAGACATAAGGTCTTCATTGTTTGCAGCAGCAGCACGCCCTGCTGCAGGATGGTCTTCTTCTGGAGTTGACTGCCATGCTGATCTGCCGTGCTCCACCTGTTGACTCCCCCTTTTGTTGACCTACAGTATGCATTGGTGGGAAGCTGTTTTGATAGGGCGCAAGTAGGAGAAGGCCGAGTGTGTACACTTGACAAGCACAGTACGCAGGGTGCAGCGCGTGCCTTGCGGCGGCACTTGATTCGCTCTTAGGCATGGCAGGTGCTGCTACTGAATTCGCACGTCTTGTGTGTATGTGTGTGTGTGTGTGTATGTGTGTGTGTGTGTGTGTGTGTGTGTGTGTG